ATGCACTGCTTTTAATGGACAGTTTTCCTGTGGTAAGAACAGAAAGACGCAGGCATTGGCAATGATTCAGTACTGTCAGTCATGCAAACAACGGTTCCTGGGCTGTGGGCACCACTAAGAAAGGCTCTGGGAGAGACTGGCTCCCCAAAGTGGCTAAGGAATCCATGTATCAATATGATAATAATAAATTAATTCACGTAGTGAACCTGGAGATTAGCTCCCCTGGAAGCCAGAGGTCTGAGGAGGGGGCTGTACAGCGCCTGAGGCTGGCTTGTGGTGCAAAATGTCAAGCATCCATTTTTTTTTCCTGGACCAAAATGAAAGCAATTTACACTCAATTCAATTCAGTATTCAATCTTGTTGTCTGGGACCAGGGAGGAAGTGGTAGCTACACAGTGCCCTTTAAAACCCGCTGGCAGCAATGACGTCTGCAGTCCTGACCTCAAGATTTGACCTCAAGGTCTAGAGTCCCATGGTATTCAACTATTATTTCTGCAATTAGCAAGTTCTAAGTTTGGCCTGCAATGACTCCATTCCGGATTACCTTGGTCACAAAAAGGCATAAACAACTGTGTCCTGATTTTATGAGTCAGGTTCTACAGGGCAGAGGTCTTGACCAGGGGATATTAATTTGTGCAATTTCCCTCCTAATGCAAACACCTTTAAATGTGCTGAGTGTGCTCTTAGTGAGGCATCTACAAAGTATCTAGAAAAAGGAAGCCAATAGGAAGTGTGAGAGAGAATCATGGCAAAATCAACTGATTTTGCAGGCTTCTTGCCACTCCAGAGAATGTCCACAGTGGCTCACCCGGCTAATTGTGTGATTCCAGATGCTGCACAGAACCTGCACACATCATCCTATGGAAACCAAGCACCAAGGAGACAGGACATCCATCACTACTTCTACATCCTTCTCCCTCAGACGATCCCCTGCCTCTCTGCCTGCCCTACTCATTGGAAAGTCAGCCTTTTCAGAGAACAGTTAACAGGCCAAAAAAAACAGGATTCTTGTCTTCTGCCCTCTTCCCTGTACAAACATGAGAACCCATGCCAAGATGGACTGACCTGAAATCCTGGGTACACACATTTGGAATCACAGGCCCCAAAGCTGGAAGCTACACTGACATTTCTAACCAAACCATGACCACTGGTTCATTCTGTATATTATAAAAGATTCCACATCTCTCAGTGCTTCTTCCAAGAGAAAGGGAAAGGGTGACCAGAAGGGAAAGAGAAGTGTGTCCTACACATGGTGTTTCAGTTCCAGAATCATCAGTGGAAAGAGTCAGGAGACAACGGTTTGAGGCACTACCTACAGGGCAGCTTCTTCCTAGGACAGAGCATTTGAAACAGTGAACATCTGAATGTGGTCTGTGCCAGTTTTTAAAGAGCTGCCTTTTCCATGATGCTTCGTGGATGCTGAGTCCTCAGGCCAGGGACCAGATGGAGGCCCAGAGCCCAATGTCCAATGCCACTGGCTCTCCACTGGCAGGGTCCTACCCGATCTGAATCTGCCCTGAATACATTGTGAGGACCAGCATAATGGAGAAGCCGGTTAGGAGGCCAAGATTCTGGATGATAAAGGGAACCAAAATGCTGTCCTTCTTCTCATCCTCCTGGCAGACCTCATTCATCTCAGGGAACTGAGAAAGAAGAGAAAAACGAGTTACAGATTCTGTTATTATTGTCCCAATCACAGTGATTGGGACAATTATGGTTTGAACCCTCACCCCCAACTTCAGATGTCTGGTTCTCAAGTAGTAGGCAGTCTTTTTGGAAGGATGTTTTTGGAAGTTCTGGAGACTTCTCTGGAGTTAGGGAGGTCACTACGGACATTATTCTTGACTATTCTCTGTAACTTTCAACAATATGGCTGCCAAAACAAGACCCAAACTCTGCAGACACCAGCTGACGTGTCAGCATGGGCTAGGGAAACCTCACAAAGCCCCGCCCCTAGGTGAAGAGTTTTAGACAATTAATTAATGACTACTTAAGACTCAGAAACCAGTCTTTCCCAGGGATGAGCCCCCTGATTGGGTATCCAGTACATATGTACAGATAAGCAACACCTAATGGACTCAGCAGTTTGTACGTATATAATATATACGTATTAGATATCTCTCAACAGTAACTAGAGAGTCTATGCATTTGAGAGGGGGCAGGGCGGTGGTAGAGACACAGGAGGAGTTGGGGGGAAGGGGGTAAGTGATGTAAATACAGCACTCAAATGAACTTCTCCAAGTTAAAACTTAAAAAGACATACAGAAGGTTACTATTAACTTGTGGCAAACAGAGTGTAAATAACATCCTTTCTTTCTCATTCCTTCTTTTCTTTCTGTCTACACGATACACCTTTTCTATCAAATTTAAATAAGGACCCTAGACTGAGTATGGTTAATTTTCTGTAATGAAATGCTAACAGAGAGACCAACATTCTCCCTTTAAAACCTGATGACTTGCTGGCTACAGTAGTTTATGCCTGTCTGCCCAGCATTTGGCAGGCAGGGGCAGGGCTGCAATGACTTGGAGGCCAGCCTGGGCTACAGAGTGAGACTCTTGTCTCAAACAAACACAAACAAAACCCTCTAATGCTGCAATAAAAATGCCAGATTATTATATCATTTTAGATTTTTAAAAATTATTTGATATGTGCATGATGTCTGTAGGTGTTTTAACTGTCTGTGTGTCTGTGGACCTCGTGGATGCTCGAACCCTGTGCAGCAGAAGAAGTAGGATCCCTTGGAACTATAGCTGGGAATCAAACCTGGGTTTCTCTCCAAGAGCAGCCAGTGCTCTTAACAGCTGAGCCATCTCTCTAATCCCAAATTGTTACTTCTTAAATCAGTGAATTGGGTGGTATGTGAAAGAGACTTCAATAAAGCCAATATTTAAAAAAAAAAATCATGGGCTGGAGAGATGGCTCTGTGTGACAGAGCATTAGGTGGCAAGACTGAGGACCCTAGTTCAGTCTCAGAAACCCATGAGATAGAGAACCAACCCCCCACAAATTTTTTCCCATGAGAATGGACATGCATCCATACACATCCCAGTGTAAAGAATTAAAAAACAAACACCCTAACATGTGCCCTTTAGCTGCCTTCCTATCCAAGAGTCAGTCACAAACCACAGCACTTACCATATCGGCTAGAGCAATATACAAGAACATTCCTCCAGCCAGTGCAAAAATCCAGTTTGCAGAGAAGTGGCTGCCAGCCAGGATGCCAAAGGCCAGACCTACATAGCAGCAACAAGCAGAGAGGAAGTTGAAGAAGAGAGCCTGCTGGATGCTCATGCCAGCATTGAGCAGGATAACGAAGTCGCCTGCAACAGGATGAGAGCAGGAAATCAGGGAGCAGAACACCAATGAATCGGACTGCGTCAGCTATGGATGAAGCACACGTGGGTTAAAATCCCAGACTCAGATGGTCCTGGGCTAAAGGCACCTCCACCTTCTGGTTCTGGTCATGGCCTCCCCGCACAGGGACTGCAAATAACTCATAGGCTTCTGGAAGTACGTAAGTAACCAGCACCAGCCTCATGCTCCCCACCTAGAGGCTGAAAATAATCCACGGGACTTTTTAAATGTAGAAAACCAACTGGCAACGGCCTCGTTTCCTTTTTGACTGATGGTAAAATAAAAATAACACCCTCTCTCCTAATGGATGGTATGTTCAGAATCAAACTTGAGGAGGGAGAAGTTGGTGCACAAGCCAATAAATGCCCAAGTTAGAGCCCGGGTTCTCACTGGGTCCTGAGTCATGGCTTCTTAGGCTCCCTTGATAAAACTGCACACACCCTTAAACTCTGGCTTTCCTACTTCATTCCCATGACGCACTTAGACAAGGTTTGCAGCTTCTACAGGACGTAGGACGTAAGAGGAGATCTTTACTGAGTATCCAGAATATTGTGTGGCACCTGGAAAGTCCTTCTTAACATTTGTCTACTTATAATCCCCTTGGTGATTCTAAAAGGCAGGTGCAGTTATTAATCACACTATGCAGGTGGGAAAATGAAGCCACAGGACACAGGGCTCATGGGATAAAAATCTCCCTGTAAGAATGTCCGTCATTCTAAGCTCTGTTCCATCCAACTGCTGGTCTTCGAGAGTTAAACAAAGCATATCAAGACAATGTGTTAATAAGTGCTGTGGCGGAGGAGGGAGGCACAGCAGGGGATGAGACACATGAAGGGTGTTCCAGACAAAAACTGAGACAGCTGGAACACAGGGACAGCGTACTCACCTAGCTCGTGAGGGAATTCCTCACAGAGAATGGCCACTGACGTGCTGATGCCTTGGAAGACAGACACAGTGAAGGAGGCACCAATAGCCAGGCCATCGATGAAATTGTGAAGACCATCGCTCAGGGTGATCATCCAGGCCAAGGTACCAATATCAGAGTATCGGACCCCTTTGAGCCAGTAGCAAGCACTCTGGGATGCCTGCAGGTCCTACAAGAAAGGACATACCAGTGGACTTTAGATTACAGAGTGACTTCACGTAAGCCTGACTCATGAAGGCCATAGCTTCCTAAAGGCTCCTCTGGGGCGCTCATGGCTGCTGACCTGCACAGACATGGAGCCTACGATGACCTTCTCGTCCGTGCCAGGCGCCTTGCCATCCAGCTCACTGTTGCAGTGCTGAGGGATCATGTGATCCAGGTCCCCATTCTGTAGCTTCTCCGTCACACCCTCCTCCTGGTCCTTCTTGGAAGGAAGTGTCTCCGGGGTAAAATGGTTATGTCCATGATGGTGCTAGAGAACGAAAAGTGACCAGTGTTACTGATCCAAACCACCAGCCCGACACAGCGCCCACTGGGAGGAAGCACTCCAAGGCTGGGGAAGATCTTATTCCTATATCCAAGGAAACCAAGCAAGCCACACACAGGGATGTGGAGAAATTGTTCGTGGCGACACATACAAAGACAAGGACTTTCTCGTAGACAAAGAAAAGAAGTCTCCGGCCATCACCCAATCCAGTGAGGTGACCGCTACTCTAAGTACTTAGGTTGCTCCTTTAAGATGGCCACTTCATTCAACTCAAACAGGCAGTGACCCCATGCCAGCTACAGGAGGCCTCTTATTGGAGCTACACTAGTCAGAACTGTTCCTGGATGTTTGCAACCAAACCTCTTTACTGTCCTCTCTAGAGAGAATGCCAGGCTTGCCCTGCAAGCACCGTCACGCGCTGCTACACCTCACTGACCCATGGCAGCACTGTTTTGTTTTGTTTTTTTGTTTGTTTGTTTTAAGTTAGCGTTTCCCCCTAGATAGTTGATCACTAACAATTGGGTCTCACCTCGTTTTTCTGCTTCAGGAGCATCTTCAGGATCTTTTCTGTGAAAAAGAAAAGGTAGAAACCCCCAAACACCACTGCCGACTTGGAGACATAATTGTCCTGAGGGTTGAAGCCAAACGCCTGTGGGCACAGGAAAGCAGACTGAGTTTACGTGCATAGACCTTCAGCAGCAGCTGTCATCGCTTACCACTCTCTCCGCTCTGGGAAAGGCACTCTGCATCCACCCATCCTCATGCCAGCAAAAGCCTAGCTTTCACATTCCCCTGACTCGCCAGCACCAGCCTGGGGACAGTTCATATTCTCTTCTGATACAAAAGACAGCCTGTCTTTAGGATTTTCTGATCCTGGAGGCTTGGAGCCAGGACCTTATGTGCACTAAGCAATCACCCTACCACTAAGCTACATCACCAGCTCTTAGGGTCTTACCATATGCATTTTACACTTACTTTATTTTTATTTATGTGTATGTGAATGTGTGTGTTTGTGAATGTGTTTGTGGGTGCCTGAGGAGGCCAGAAGAGGGTGCCAGTTCACCTGAACCTGGAGCTATAGGCAGCTGTGAGCCATGTGCATGCTGGGAACTAAACTCTGGTCCTCGGAAAGAGCAGCAAGCATTCTGGACCACATGATAGACAGGAACTACCATGGCCAACTTAGCTTTCTTTCTTTTATTTTCTCTTTCCTTCCTTCTTCCTTCCTTCCTTCCTTCCTTCCTTCCTTCCTTCCTTCCTTTCTTTGTTTTTTTTTTTTTTGACTAGGCCTCACTACATAGTCCAAACTGTCCTCAGACTCACAGAGGTCAGCCTGCCTCTACCTCCCAAGCTCTGAGGATTAAAAGCTGGTTTTCTCCTTTTAATGTGGACACTATCTTAATTTGTTAGTACCTAGCCACACAAGCATTTAGTCAGCAAATTCCACGTTTAAAAGGAGGCCACTTGCGTTTATTTTTGCCTTATCCAGTGTCCCTGGTTGATCTGCCCGTAAACACAATGGGAAGTGGTTTAGTTACGATTGCTAAAAGGAGAAAATCCATTCCAGTTTCACAGCAAGAATTGCAGCATAGTCCTGACCACAGAATCTTGAAAGGACCACAAACTAAAAAAGCAGGCTCTGTCCCTGCAGGCATCCTGGGGTGGATAAAAGCCAGGCCTAGTTCCATACGTCTGCAGTTTCCAAAGCTCAGGAAGATGAGGTGGGAGGACCCTGGGACTCTGGGGCCAGCCTGCCCAACAAAGATTCCATCTCTTTAGAACATAATAAAAAATATTTTTGAAAAGAATGGAGGGGGGGGGGATATGTTGCTCTGAGTTCTTTCTGGAAACTTCATTTAAGTAAGGAAGGGGAAAAAGATTTATCGATACAGAAGACAGGAGTAGCCAAAGAGCTGTCCTGAGTCTGTCTCCTGGTTTATGGTGTCAAGTGTCCAATGACCTATTTGTGTCATTTCTACAGAAAACAGGCTCGATTCCCAGCACTTGGGAGGCTGAGGCAGGAAGACAGCAAGTCTGAGACCATGAGGTGAGACTATCTCAAAAAATAAACTTCAGGTCTCTTGGGAACAGGACAGAGACAAGAACTAACCCTTCTGAAGGAGAACCCCACATTACTTCAAAGGCAAACATCTCTTCCAGTTGTTTAAGGCAGCAGGCTCACAGCCCTCTAGCATCGATTGGCCTCAGAGAGACCTAGAGGGCAAATGCTAAAGAAGCCTTGTATTCAGGTCAGCTCTTCGGGAGAAGAGGTGCACCCTGGGAAAAAGTGAAGAGCCAGTAGGTGAGGTGGGATTCAAGAGCACAGGACTCATTAGACCTGAGCTTAGGGCAGAGGCCTCTCATGCAGGTCTGACTTGGGGCTTGGGGGGAAGCCATGATTCATTTAACAGACATCACAATTGCTCCACCAAGAACACAAACCAATAACAGTGTTCTCAGAAGCAAGTGAAATCGGCTCTAGCCTTTGTTCAGGCCTGTCAGACCACCCACAGTGAGGTGCACTGTGCTTATTATAGTTAGCAGGTCTGCTGAAGCTATCTCACTAAATCATGTGTGGGCCTTCTCCAAAGCTGACTACTCAGGTTTCAAAACACTGGCTCCCTTCTCCTCTGTGGAAGATCACCCATGTGGAGGTGCCACAAATTTACTGTTTCCTTTGGATTTCTTCTGCCCTCAAGCTCCCTACCAAAGAGCTGGGTTTTTACTGAGAACTGTGGACTTCACTGTGTTTTGTTTCTCTAAACTAAAGCCCCACATCAAGAGTCAGAGCTACACTAGCTTGCTTGGTTTCCACTTACATGTATGTGTGTTTTGCCTGCATGTACATATGTGCACCATGTGTGTGCCTGGTGCCTACAGAGGCCAGAAGAAGGCATGAGACCATCTGGAACCGGGGTTGGAGTTTGTAAGCTCCATGTGGGTGCTGAGAATAAAACCAGAGCAGCTTTACAGCTGAGCCATCGTCTCTCCAGTGCCAAGTTACACTGGCATTTCACTCAACGGTCCCAGCTTTTTGGAAGCACTCATATGCCTTTAAGATTCATCCTATTGCTTATTATCCTATACAAAGGACACAGCCGTGAATGGCTGGTCCAGGTTTGGGGTCTGGTTAAGGATGGGATTTCAACCTAGCCCTTAAACCTCACCTAGCTCCTGTCTTGGTCCTAGCTTTCCTTTCCAAACAAAGGACCTTGGGGGCCAGTCCCTGTGTCTTCCATGTACATAGAGGCTCCTCCCACTGTGCCTACTGTCCCCTAGCTGACAGGGGTACTCTGGTGAGAGTGCTGCAGCTTGTCATACCTCTGGGATGAGCTGGAAGAGGGCGTTGGAGTAGAGGGTTCCAATCGCCAAGGCTATGAAGTACAGCAGCAGCCTCTTGTAAAAAGTCTTCTTCATGAAGGGCACCACGCTGGCCCCCATGAGGGAGCAGAGGGAAATGACGGTAACACAGAGGAAACCGTACCCCCATACTGCCAGCCCACCCAGGTCAGGGAGCAAGGTAACCACCACGAGGGAAAGCAGGTAGATAGGAGAATTGTGGGTATTAATGAAGGAACCCAAAAAGAAAAACCGGAGACAAGTAGGGAGAGAGGGAGAAAGGGAGGGAAGGAAGAAGAAAGAGAGAGAGAGAGAGAGAGAGAGAGAGAGAGAGAGAGAGAGAGAGAGAGAGAGAGAGAGAGGAAATTTGTTAGTGATTTGGGTCTGATGCAATTTCCTTCAATCAGTGCAGGAGGTATGAGGAATCTGAGGTGGTCTTGGAACCCTGTGACTACTGCCCCAGCTCCTGAGGTGGCCTGGCTCATACCTGCCAGCCGGTGTGACTGGCAAACAGGGCAGGCTACTGCCTCATCTTATTCACACATGCAGCGCACGCTCAGGCCCAGCACAGACTTTGGACTCAGGGTCATTTAACAGGACACCAGAGCAAGTGGGAAGAAAAGGTTTGGTGCGTCACTGGCTCTACTTGCACATATTTAAGCCACATCACAGTGGCCCATGTGACACTGCCCAAGGATCATTTGGTTTGTGCAATATACAACAAAGTTGTGTACAGGGTGGTAGGAACGCAGAGCAGCCAAGACTCACTGCCTATCAGAGTTGGTTTCTGAGCAGCTGTGTTTGTTCTTATTTGCTTTGAGGGACCCAGTGTAGAAAGCAGAATTCCAAGACCAACTCGTTATAAAAATTAACTTCAAATGCATTTTCCAAAGTGACACACTCTGGGTTGTGAGTACAGCCCTCAGGAGGGGACAGTACAGAACTGCGCCAGGATGACAACCCTTGTGTGACCCAAAGGGTGGGACAGGGACAATGGCAGTCGTCCCAGTCAAACAGGCAATAAAAATTTCATTTCAAATCCTTAAAAAAAAAAAAATTAGTAAATTCAATGGCTGGAGCTGAAAAAATAGCCCAAGGTGAGGCCTCCCTTGGGAAGAACTTTCTAGATCCAGGTGGAACTGAAACTGTTAAGGCCTGAACTCAGTTCTTCCCTCATGACGGAGGAGGAGGGGGTGAGGCATGACACCTCAGAGAGGAGCTTTCCTCAGTTAACCTCTTGGCTTTGGAGGACCAAAAAGCCAATGAATTTTTATAAAAGCTTTCTTGGCACCAAAGTGGTCAGCCAGGCGGCTACAAGTTATTTCTCCAACAGTGCCATGTGCCTGCACTGAATAACTGGCCAGACTCTCAACTTGGGTCTTATTTTTGCAGCTCCTCAGTGATGACAATTAAAAAACAAAATTACTGAACATTTCAAAACAGTCAGGTGAGTGTACCAGGAAGTCAGACCTGTCAGGGAGAGATCAGGATGCAAGGTACAAATGAATGAGCTTCTCTTGTATTGTGTTTGCTTTTTGGTTTTTTGGTGGGAACAACCTTATTTGCTAAGTTGCCCAAGCTGTGATCCTCCTGCCTCAGATTTTCAAGTGCTGCAAATGCAGGCATGAGCTGCCACAGCTGCTTTGATTAAAACCAGGATTACACTCTTGAGGCCAGTTCCCCACAGATCCCATAGTACCCTCCCTTCCTTCCTTCCTTCCTTCCTTCCTTCCTTCCTTCCTTCCTTCCTCCCTCCCTCCCTCCCTCCCTCCCTCCCTCCCTCCCTCCGCCTGACTCCTCATTGAGAATCACCTGGAGTCCACACATGAGCACCCCCAAGATTTCCCTTAAAAGTCAGGTCTTGCATGGCACAGAGTCCACAAACAGCAACTTTGCTTTGGACTCCTACAAATGGAGGCTCTGGAGTGGAATCAAAAAGAGATTCCCCAAAGGGGCACAAATGTTTAAGAACCTTGCATCTGATGTCACCCGAAGAGGCAGAGGTCAACCTGAGTGAACAGAGGCATGAGAGAAGTTATTGGACCCCCTGATATGAAGAGTCGATTCATTTTTCGGGTGGCAATTGTTGGGGGTCTTAGAACACAGAGGGAGAATGTCAGCCCGAGGGGGACTGGGCTGGGTCAGCCCGGGAAACGTGACCGCGCGCCTGTTCTACTGCACCTCTGGGATGAGCTGGAAAAGCGCGTTAGAGAGCAGCGTTCCAATGGACAGGGCGATGAAGTAAGTGAGCACACGGCTGAAAAACGCTTTCTCTGTGCACGGCAGGACCAGGACTCCCAGGAGCGAGGCCAGGTTAATCAGTGAGACACTGAGGAACCCAAAGCCCCACACTGTGGAGGAATAAGAACAGACGAGGGCCTCCATTACTGAGGGAGTATTGCTGCTGACAGTGAGCTAGGCACACAGGGATCCAGCAGCCCCTCAGGAAATGTCTGGTGACTCCATCTCTTGTTAGGGAAACCTCGGGAAAACAAGGTCGAGGTTGCTATCTGAGCAGCGTGACCTTTAGAGGCAGGAAGAGACTGGAGTCTCAACATGGTGAAGGACCATGAGTTAGACAGTGTGTGTACTTATTATGATGGAGACACAGGTTAGGTCTGGTAGCCCTTGCTGGCTCTATAGGACTTTAGAAAGGCAATCAAGGACTTACTCAGACAGGGTGAGTGCCCCCTAGCTTGAGGGGAGATACTGAGGGGGATGGAGGGGATGAAGTAGCCAAAAGAGGTCATAAAGATTGGCACTCTTACAATTTAATAAAAACAAAGGGTGAGTTAAAAAAAACATATTCACATGCTGGCCAGGGTCCAGTCCACCCCGTGCTCACCAGTCAGCCCACCCAGAGTCTGCTGATGTAGTCTGGGTACGCGTGTCCATCATCGACCTCCGCCATCAACCACTCCAGTCCATGCTTACCTTCAATGGCGCTTGGCTTCCCCTCCTCTGTCTGTTCATTTTCCTCGCTCTTCTGGTTTTCTGAGGTGCAGGCCTGGGACTCCAACTGCTGGAGAATGGTGGGGCAGAACTCCTGGAACTCACTCCTCCCGATCTGAGATCGCTCGCTCAAGTTGTGGGCGGCAAAGAGGTCTCCAGAGCTAAAGCACTGAAATCAGGAGAGGTACAAGGGTTCTTAGAATCCGAAACTCCTGCCCTGCCCTGCCCTGCCCTGCCCTGCCCTGCACGACTAGACCCTGTAAGGAACTTAACCCCCTGAGAAATAAAGAGAAAACAGATGCAGCCACACTGCAGAGAATCTGGAGTCTCATGTCCAGGGATGAGAGTAAGGAAAACCCCCACACTTGAAAGCCTGGCTTGGATCTCAGATCAGCCATAGAGATCTTAGTGCACAAAACTATAATCTGGTTGTAGAAAAAGGTTTGGGGAACAGATTCCAAGGGGGACCTTCATCTCTGGATACTTGGGTGGCCAAGGCAGGAAGACTGCAGCTTCAAAGAATGCCTGAGCTGCAAAGTAAATTCAAACCTTGCCTGCACAGCTCAGCGAAACACCCCCTGAACCCTCAGCATGCACCCCATCCCCAAGTGAGAAAATAATACAGTAAAAGGAGTGCTGGGCGTGACTCAGGCTGGCGGGATCACGCCATGCACCAGGAGTGCCTAGGTCCAATTCGACGAGGGGTGGGGTGGCAGTGGAGGTCAGGATTCCAATCATGTGACTAGGGTGTGGTTTCAGAGAAACAGGATTCCATCTGTAAACCTGATAGGAAATTTGGCGGCACTTCACAATAGCCCAGGGAGCTATACCACTAAAATGTAGATTATCGATCCCTGCGCTGGAGTAAGGACCTGTGGTGGTTAGCAGACACAGGCACCTGTGACCTTGGGAAGTCTCGCATATTATAGAAATCAAATTGAGAGCTCTCTGCAGGAGCTGCATGCCTGTATGACATATGCACATGAGGACCAGGAGGGTGTTCTGTTCTACTACACTCCCTGCCTCATTCCCTTGAGACAGGGTCTCTCATTGTACCTGGAACTAGGCCTGCAGCCAGCAAAACACAGCACTGGGATAGAGATATGCATGGCTGCCCAGCCTTTTACCTGGGTGCTGTGGATTCAAACTTGGGGTCCTCGAGCTTTCAAAACAAGGGCTCTTATCGCTGAGACATCTCCCCAGTCCACATTTTTCTCATTGTGCTTGATTCACATAAGCTACAGTCTTTCTCTGAGGGTGGTTTTACCAGGGTCTACGTCTGAGAGTCAGCCCCCTGGGAGTGCTGACAATTTAGGTTTTTAGACCTGCTGACCCAGAACACTGCCACAGGCTCTAAGGTCCTTAGGTAAACCCTCTGAACTCAAGCCTGCCACTCACCCACTGCCCATGAGGCACACTTGGCCTCCCCAGTGATGCTGACACTTGTCACACTTGAGACTCTGCATGCACGCAATCCACTTTCTCTTTCCAGCCCCAGCCTAATCATCCTTCATGGTGTGGCTTCAGCATGCCTCAACTTCCCTCTCTCATAGGAGAACCCCACAATTACACTACACCCCACAAAACGACGTACTTTATTTTTATCCCAGCTAGCTGAGCCCCTCAACTCAACACTGGTATATGGGTCCTCCTCAAGAGCAGCCACTGAGGTCCCTGACCCTGTTTCTTCACTTCCCATGATGCTCAGTCTAAGGGACAAAATAGAACAGAAGGACTCTGCAAGCTGACCACTACTGGACTGCCACAAACAGCCCCAGACTCGAGCAGCTGAGATGACATGGAAGAACATTTTAGATGAGACTAGAGTCTTGGCCCCTATCCCAGGAGCCCCTGTGAAACCAGAAAAACAATTCTTCCTGCATCTGAGGGGGTTCTGAGGAGCATCTGGCACGGTGTGAGAATTCTACTGGACGTACTGTCCTAAGAGCCGTGGCTCACCAGCAGTGACCCAGGTGCACCTGCAAAACTGTCTGGGGACTGAGGACCCTCTTCTTAAACCTCTGTAAGAGCGCAAAACACCATGAGGGTAGTTGGGAAGCCTCACTGGAGATGCAGAATGTGCTGACCCCAATGGAGATGGGAGCTGACTGCCAGCGGGGTCTATCTGCCTCCTCTGACCAAGCTGCTGGGCCACTTTGTGTCCATTGGTATTGATGGAGAGAAGCCTTACCGTGGAGAGGTTTCTGTGTTCTTCCTTGGGCTGGGAAGCATTATCCCGGCCCACTCCCACATGCAGTTGGTCGAGCAGGGACTTCAGCTGTGTAAGGGTAAGGCTGTCATTCTTTCCATAGCGGTTCATGAGATCTTCAAGGAAGGAGGTGGCACTGAGGGGTGGCAGGCTAGCAGATGAGGCCTGAGTCTGGGGGGCAGTTCTCCATATACCAAACAGCACCAATAGGAGGCAGCTAGGGAGAGCTGGGTGCAGCCGCTTCATGTTGACCTCATATACCTAGAACACAAAGCTGGGTGAAGGCAAGGTCTCTCTCTCTCCCCCAACACTCAAGTAAATGCCAACTCACCAACCCCGTGCCAAGGGCAAGGGCTCCCCTCCCCTCAGAGTAGATGAGCATCAAGATCTGACTTAGCCCCTGGCTCTACATGCTCTACTTGACTTTAGAGGAATCCTTCTTCCAAAGGGGTAAGACAACAAGAAAAAGGACGTGCTGGGCACTGGGTACATGCCTCCTGACACCTAGGAGGAAGAGGCAGGAGAATTAGGAATTCAAGGCCAATTTCAGCCACACAGTGAGCTTGGGCTATGTAAGAACCTGTTCCACCTAAGTAGGGTTGGTAAGCCTGTGTCAGGTAACCATGTTCCCGTAAGAAATCACTGAGTCAAAACTAATTCTAACACACACAGACACACACACTCCCCCAGGAATGAGACAAGAGGATACTGGAGAGTGAGTAAGATCAGAATACATGATATACATATATAAAAATGTCTTAATGAAACCAATACTGTGTGTAATGGGTTTCATTATGCTAATAAAAATATTGTGCTAATAAAAATGTATTATTATTATTCTATGTGTATGTGTTTTGGCTGCACCTATGTCTACGTACCACATGCATTCCACATGCACGGGAGTTCTCTGGAACTGAAGTTATGGACACTTGTAAGGCACTATGTGGGTACTAGGGATCAAACCTGGGTGCTCTGCAAAAGCAGTCAGTGCTCTTAACCACTGAGCTATCTGTCCAGCCCCTACTAAGAGGCCTTAAAAAGAAGACAAACAAAAGAAAAAATGGGCAGAGGACATTGATCTGCATTGGCTATGCAGTTAAGAGGTCCAGGCTCCACTCCCATCCAGAGCAGACATAAACAGATAATTAATGGCAGCAATGAGGCTATGGTTTTAAACAAAAAGGCCTTACAGAATACTGAAATAACCATGGATTAATGATATCTCAGATTCACCTCAAATCAGTCACGGTAGGTTAGTCAGGTAGGACATCCAGATAAGATAAAACTAGATTAGGCACATGGATTTCAGAATTGAAACATTTCTACCTAGAAAATTAAGTTAAAAAAAAAAAAACTTTTAAAAAAGGCCAGACAGAAATGTGCTGTGGTCAACTAAATCCTCTCAATTTCATGGACTGTCGTGTGGCTGTAAGAGAAAGGTGTGGCTATAACGCCTAATATGGAGACAGATTCTATAACACAGTTAAGAACTGAGAAGACAAAGAAGACTGAGAGCTAGCTTTGACTTTCCTGCCCATCACTCGCTTCTCTGAGAACAGTTATAACCTAATTAGTGACATCAGCAGGCACGAGGAGGCGCTCCAGCACCAGAGGCCTCAGCGCACACTACTCCACCTGTCCAGAATAGCACAGCATCCCCATGGCCAAGAAGCAGGCCCTACTGACCCCTGTCTGCCCCCGCTGCTTACAGACAATGTGATCTTGAGTAAGCTACTTAGTGGGAAACATCACAGGATGATCCAGGGCTGCCTACCATGGCACAGCCATTAGTATCAACACGCAGCTTTAACTTCCACTGCACTGCTTACGAAAGAGAAAGGCACTGGGCAAGTTGGACAGTCTCAACTACATCCATTTTCTCATCTGTAAATGTGATACCCAGCTCAGGGGATGGCTATCAGAATTTAGCAACCAAAGTGATGGGGAGGTCCTAGCTGCTGATTACCTGAATTGAGGTACTCAAAATTTGACTTCTACCAGTTGAGACTGGTCTGTGCTATATAGTGAGGAAAAAGGAGGTGTATGTGTGTGTGTGTGGGGGGGGGGGGGTTGAGAAGGAAGGAAAGAAAATGACACTCCCTTGGGAAAAAAAAAAAAAGCTAGGAACTACAGCTCAGTCATAGAGTGAGTATGGGCCTCACATGTACAAAAGCCCCAGATGTGATCCCTAGCACTGGCCTAGGCATGGTGGGAGCCTTAATCCCTTGGGAAGCAGAACAGATGGATTTCTGTGAGTTTGAGGCCAGCCTGGTCTATACAGTGAGTTCCAGTATAGCTACAGCAGACAGTACTCAAAACAAACATAACAACAACAACAACTATAACAAGAAGAAGAAGAAGAAGAGAAGAAGAAGAAGAAGAAGAAGAAGAAGAAGAAGAAGAAGAAGAAGAAGAAACAAAGAGATAACAGAAGAAAAGAAAAAGAAAAGGACTAGAATGAAAAAAGAGAAAAACAAAAACTAATCAGCTAGAGAACAAAAATCTGAAAATCTGGCTATAGTCATTCAAAGACGAGACTGCTTTCCAAAGTTTGACTTTCAGCCCAAGTATGAAGCTGTTAACAGACTGTGTCCTAAGACCCTGTAACTGCCTTTGCATTCAACTAAGGCTCAACTCCTGCACCCTGTCAGCCATATAAGCCACAATACACTGACTTTATGATTCCATATATGGGGCACAAAAGCGGGGAGGGGGGCGAAAAATGTCATTCTTCACTCAGGAGGCAGAAGCATATGGATTTCTCTGATTTCAAAGTCAGCCTGGTCTACTTTGCAACTTCCAGGCCAGTCAGGGCTACATAATAAGACCCTCTTATAAATTATTTATATATTCAGTTGAATATACTTTCAGCCACACAACTAGAAGGACCAGACAGGGCAAAAAGGCAGTCTGCAAAATTGTTATTTTCAAATCAATACTCTGGAATCATCACCAAGAACCAGATTAATCTATTCTTTGTGGAATGGATCTTGGGCAAAAATTACACTGAAACCCACTGTTCAAAGGAAGTAGTTTCCCTGGCATGGTAGCACATGCCCATATTCCCAGAACTTGGGAGATGAAAGCAAGATGAGGGGCTAAGGTCAACCTTGGCTACTTGGTGAGTTCAAGGCTGGGCTACATGAGACCCTGTCTCAAAAAAAGAAAAATAAAGG